TGTGTGTGTGGATCGTTTTTTGTGAACACGATAACACGAAGAGGTGTCAACGAATTTGGCTAAAAATTGCTAGTTATATTTATCATAAAAATATGTCGAAATGGATTGATGGATTTTAAAAAATCCTCAAAAACATTTTTTTTAAGTCAAATATTGAAGTTAATATATGTGGACGTCCACATGAAAAGGGCCCATTTTGGCACTATTGGACTTATCTACATGGGCGAATTCCTTGCAAAATTTGGAAAATTTTGAGTGGACATAGAACATTTTTGTTGAAAAATTCGATGAGTTACAGAATTTCAAAGTTTAGAACGTCAAAACCTCATTTCGAGAAAAACGAAATTAAAGATTGTGATACCAATTGATAAGAATTGTTTCCAGTCCAGGGCATCTTAAAGATAAAAAACCAATAGGTTTTAAATTTTTAAAACCAACCCCCCTCCATTTTGAAAAATACGAAAATTCGACAAAATGGGCCCTTTTCTAAAAAGGACGGTTTTTTTATTAATAAACCAGGTTTTACAAGGTTAATGATTGGGTGCAATTTTATTGTGTCATTTGAAGAAAAAGAATAGAAATTAAACTTATTTAAAATTTTTAAACAGTCTCTATTATAAATAATTGGACGAAACATTGAAATTTTCACTTCTACGACTACAAAAACAAAGACTTGAACATCAATATCTCTGGTTCTTCTAGGAAGTTATTCAGATAAGAATTGTTTACCGTCTAGGGCACCTTAAACATGAAAAATCATGAGGTGTTAATTTTTTTTCCCTCTATTTTGAAATTATGGAATAATTTTCAAAAGACCGACATAATGGGCACTTTTCTAAAAAGGAGGTTTTTTTAATTATAAAATCCGGTCGAAAGTTAAAAAAAATTAATTTGTTTATAAAAAAAAATTTTTGTTTACATTTTTTAAAAGTCGAAAATAAACTAAAACTTTCATTCTTTGACAACTTTTTCCTAAACTTATAATCAGCTACGATTTTCGAAAATGAAAATTTGGAATCTTGGGGCGATTGCAGATAAAACTGCGTTAGCACAATTTTGACTCATTTTAGGTAAACCTAAAAGTGCTTGAAGACCACCGTGTAATGTTACTGCACTGCAAAAATAAGTGTCTTATTTGATATCTTAAAATAAGATGTAAGATGGAAAAATGGTATCTTACATCTTAAAATAAGATGTTTTCTAAAGTATCTTACTGATTTTTAAGATGTTTTTATACTTAAAAAAGTAAGATACTTCTGTAAGTTTTTTAAAGTATCTTAAATTAAGATGTTTCTGTCTCAACAAGATGTTTAGCGATAAGATACTTGTGAATTGTAAGATGCGAAAAAAATTTAAGTTACTAAAAACTAAGATGCATAAAATGTCTTACATATATAAGCCCATAGTTAACCTCAAAACTTTTTTCCCGAAAAATATGCTGAAAATATGTACGAAGATGCTTTTAGTATCTTAAATTAAGATATTTTAAATGACTAAAAAGTGACTACAATAACATCTTAGAAATGACTACCAAAACATCTTAAATAAGATACTTCTTTTTGCAGTGTGTGCAATGTTACGAAGGTGGGATATGTTAAGCTTGCATTAACATTGCTAACATTGCATGACATCATTGCCTCCTGCTAGAGCCCCGACAGAATCCAGATAGCGCCCAGCTGGGCCCAACTTAGGCAGTCTGATTAATTCCCAATTTGGACCAGGTGCGGACATTGCATCATGGGTTATTCACAGATCCTAATTTATTTCAAAACGATTTATTGTTTAGAGAGGAGAGAGATAGAGAATGACTAATTTATTCATTAACAAGACTCAGTAAAATAGCACACGAAAAGGCATTGTTAATTACCTTATAAATAATAATGTGGAATTTTTAATTCGCAATGCAACTGCAAACAGTGAACCTTAATGAAAATGTCGTGTTATTTGAATGCGAACAAAGGGGAGCGTGAGATCGATCAATCGATCTATGAATTCTATTTGAAGCTGGAGCGCGCTCGATCAAGGCAGGACGCGTGCAATCGCGAATCCATCCGATTGGAAAAACAAACAAACAAGCAAACAATTTTTTTTCTTTTTTCCATTTTTTTCTCTTCCTTCAAGTTTGCATCGTCCGTTGGTGCAACCAGGTATGCAAAGCAAATGCAAATGTTACGAATCTGCATAATTTGCCACGAGAAAGATTTCTCTCTGGTTTGTGAACTGCTTTTTTCTTTTCCGATCACCACCACCATCCCTTCCAATCCTTTTTCGATTTTTTAGAAAAACAGAAGAAGAAAAAAAGGTAAAAAACAGTGTTAAACATAATTCTCTCAAATGCTGTTATATATTGTCTTCTAAAGGTTCGCAGGTACATCAGAAGAAAAATAAACATGTTTCTTTTTCAATTTTATCTCTCTACCTGTCCTCCTAAAATAGACGTGGACATAAAAAAAGTCAACAACATGAAGCAGAAACTTAACGGAGATAATCTAGTGTGTATATACAAAGGACAAAAAAAGAAACTGTAAAAATCGAAACATCTGGAATCATTTTGAATTTTTGTTCAAAGTTTGTGATTATTGATAAAAAAATTCGACGCGAGATTTAAAAATTAGAAAACTAAATTACAAAAGGTGCCTCTAATATTATGAAACAGTAAAACTTTTGTAGTATACTTAAAGAAGTTCTTTGGATTTTTACTCATGAACCCAGGTAGAAATTTGTCAAGTATTACTTGTTTTCTTCCAGTAGCTGAAGAGTCGAGAGTGAGTTTTACTTGCCAAGACAATCTGGCCAGTCTTGAATAAGCGACTGGACAGTTTCACTGGATAAAAACAATTCCCCTTTTGTCAAGTCACTGACCAGAAAATCTGATCATAATAGTGATAAGAATTTCTTTCCAGACACTGGCCAGTCACTGATTTGAAGAATTTTTTAAGATTCCACCTTAAAAAACTGGTCCACCACTGATCAGAAAAACTTGCCGAAACTTATTAAAAGAATTATTCTAGATTTTTTAAGAATTTTTAACTAAAATTCTTCTTAAAATCGATTATTTTTAATAATTTTCGAAAAAGTTCTTTGACAATTTTCAAATACATTTCTTTGCAATATTAAATTTTACGAAATTTCAATTATTTGTAATTTCTTCAATTAAATATATATATTAGAAAATAAAATTTTCTAGCCAGAAAATCTTGACACTATTAAAAAAAGAAACTGCGGACACAGAAACTGACCATAGTTACTTAGGAAAAAAACAAAGCACCAGTCCCATAAAAATACACTCTTAGTCAATCATTTATAATTAGATATTAAAAATACTTTTTATGTTCCATACGGTCAAAAACAGAAAAGTCTAAAGTAACTTTATATAAAAATTATGCTCGTTTCACTGTCACATTACCAAAGTTAACATTTTTCTAAATTTTGACAAGATAAGCCGTCAAGTCTCTGACGCAAGTGACTAAACAGTTTATCTGGTCACGATTTCTGATCATTACTTCTGACAAGTCACTGGCCAGAAATTCTGGTCACAATCGGTGACCAGTTCTTCAGTTCTTAAACTTGTAGTTATGATAAGTTACTATCTAGTCACCGTGGCTGCGTGGTAACGCACATGCGTTGCGTCTCCAGGGTCTAATGTTCGATCCCCCATGCGTGCGAATTTTTCATTCTTAGATTTAAGTGTTATTGGTAGAGTAATTGTTCATTAGTCTTAAATATTTGAATAAACACAAAAATATAAATAAATGTGTAATTATAAACAAAATAAAAAGAGAGGGGAAAAATTATATTTTATTCTAGATTTTGAGCAGAAAACTGTCCAGTTACTGGTCAGTTACTTGCCAGTCACTGGCCAGATAATCTAACCAGTGACTGCTAAAACAGCGCGTTACATTTCTAATCAATCACTTGCCAGATTTTCTGGTCAATCACTGGCCAGAATCTAGAAAAACTGTCCAGTGACTGGTCATTATAGAGTTGAAATTTCTACCTAGGAACCAGTGAATATTTTTTCAGTCGACTGTTGGTATTTAAGCAACCAAATTATTTGGTTATGTTAAAATAATAATTCAATTACTCGATTTCCTTACTCCTTGTTGTTGAATTCCTCAAATTTGCTTATTTCGACTTTCTCCTCTCTCCCTTCTTACTTCTCATACACTTGATCTAACCCTAACTGAACCTTTTCCACATCTTTTCATCGAGTCAAGTTAAAATTTCGACAATCAAAATTAAAAGTCACGTTTTCGAATAGAATTCTCTTAAATTATCTTAAAGTAATAATTATTAAAGTAAAACAAACAGTGCTCTTTTATTATTAAAAACTCAACAGTTACACTCTTCTAAACAAAAAGAACACTCAAACAAATAAATTTCGCTTAATATGTGTAAAAACTACATGTAATTGATCATTGGTTAAATTACTTTATACTTTTCGTTACATCTTTTTCGTGTAAAATAAAGATTATATTTTAATAATAAATAGTGTTTGTGATCAGTTAATAATTTCCTTGCAATTTATTTAATACATAAATTTTTCAAAATTCAAACATTGGTCCTTCGAGCCGGATTTTTGGTGGTATAAACAGTGACAGTGTGTGTGTCTCCATATTGTGTTTCTCAGTTAACACATACACATCGACACAGTGACTCAGTGAACCGCTCCGTCTTATTTCTATTCTCTCTCGTTACTTTGCTCCCGTGACATTAGTATTATATCTTGTTTTCTTTGTTTACACACAAGTGTGAGTTTATTTTTACAGTATAATTTCGTTTCGTTCAATTTATAATTGAATATTAGTAAATTTTCCGCGACAGTATTTAAAATTATTTTATCATGTCAGAAGTTAAAATCGCCTTACAAAAACAACGTCTTGAGTACATAGCCAAATTGAATGATGAAGTTCTCGAAGGGCTTCATAACCCCAAAATTAGAGACATTCAAACCCGACTCGATCTTCTTCAATCACATTGGGATAAATTTGACAAAACACATGAACGACTGTTCGAAGTATTCGAAGTATAATTATTCTTCTGCATTGGCTGCGTTACTAAATCTTAAGGACGATCTCGAAAGAGATACCACTCCAACTGGATTAAACCTAGCTGACACTTCTGCTTCAACATCATACGCTCACCCGAGATCATTTCTTCCTAAAATCAGCTTAAATACATTCTCTGGAGAATATACAGAATGGCAGGCATACTCGGATCTCTTTTCGTCATTGGTCGGAAAGAACCCTGACCTCACCAATGTCGAAAAGATGCACTATCTCAGGTCTACTCTTCAAGGAGATGCAAGTCAACTTATCGCATCACTTCCAAATTCAGGTCCTTCTTTTCCAACTGCTTGGGACACTTTAGTAGACAGATTTGAAAATAAACGTATGCTTATCAATTCTCACTTAAATAAACTTTTATCTCCTCCAGTCATTAACGTTAAATCAGGTAAAGGACTACAAGCTCATCTTAATACTACAAATGAAGCTGCTAGTGCTTTAAGAACTCTTGGAGTCCCCATTGATCATTGGGATATAATTCTCGTTCATCTTTTAGTCCGCAATCTTGATCTCGCATCTCGAGAAGCTTGGGAACTCCACCTAGGTTCAAATTCAGATTATCCTACCCTTGATCAACTCAAGACCTTCATTAGTGGCAGAGCTAGGGCATTGGAGAACATAGAATTGGAAAAGGGAAATCTTAAACCTTCAGCTTCGAAGACACCAACTCCTCGACCTGCTCCTGTTCGTTCAAATTCAAATCCTGCAAGGATTCACGCGACCACTACAACCAATTCCACTCAAGAGACACCTCGACAATCTCAACCGAATTATGAATGTGATGACTGCAGTGAACTTCATTTCATCACTACCTGTGCCAATTATAAAGACCGTACTCCCAATTCAAGAGCACAATTAGTTCAAGAGCAAAGACTCTGTTACAATTGTCTTGGGCGACATAATGTGAGATCGTGTCGCAATCCAACAAGATGTCGGTCATTAATGGAAAACATCACACGTCACTTCACGATTCTCATCTAATCGGATCACATCAAATCAAGTCTAACTCTAACCCGGATTCTTACGCTAATGCAGCAACTACTTCAAATAATTCAACAACTCATGAAACAATCACAAATTTGGAACCCAGTCACTCAACATCGGAACACTCTGATCTCCATCAATGACCATCTCCTGAAAGCACTCAACTATCAAGATCATCAGTACTACTCGCTACTACGCAACTTGTTGTAATTTCGCCAAAATGTTCTTCAGTCAAAATCAGAGCACTCATTGATCCTGGATCAGAACTCAGCTTCATCTCAGAAAAGGTTGTATCCTTAATACATCTCGGAAGATCCCACTCTAAAATTCCAATACTTGGTATTGGCGGAACCCCCTCCGGACACACCAGAGGCTTGGTAAGAATATCTTTACATTCTATACATTCTTCATCTGAAACGCTATCTATTTCGCTACATATCTTATCTCATCTAACCACATGGTTACCCTCTTTTCAACATTCTGAATTATCTTGGCCTGTTCTAAAAACACTAAATTTAGCTGATCCAGATTTTCTCACCCCTAGTCCTATCGACATTATTCTTGGGGCTGATTACTATTCTCAAATTATTCGAACACGTGTTATCAGACATAATTTTGGGAACTTGATAGCTCAAGATACCTTCTTTGGATGGGTTATATTAGGTCCCATTCCAACTTCACATCACGTCTCACTATCTGTTCAACAATCCTACACCAATGAGGACATTCAACATCTGCTTACAAAATTTTGGCAGCTGGAAGAAGCACCTGTTCCTCAATCAGAATCTGTTACTCTTTCCCCAGATGAACTTAAATGTGAACAATTCTTTCTACAAACTCATTTTCGCAATAGAGAATTAGAATTCTCAAACAACTCTTAATAAAACTCAACTCTGATTCAACTTATCACGATCTTTATCATAGATTTATGCGTGAGTATAAATCATTACAGCATCTTACCGTTGTCTCTTCACCAGACTCAGATTTCTCTCCAAATTTCTTTCTACCTCATCACGGAATCCTCAAGGAGGATGATGATTCGTGGAAAATCAGAGTAGTCTTTAACGGCTCCTTTAAGACTATTGATGGACCTTCTCTCAATGATCTCCTCCACATTGGAGCTAAATTACAATCGGACATTTTTGAAGTACTATTATTTTTCAGACGATTTCGCTTTGTTTTTATCACAGACATCACAAAGATTTTTAGGCAAATTATAATCCACCCCGAAGATAGACGATTTCAACGTATACTTTGGGTAGATGATAACAACGAGATAAAAATTCATGAACTCAACACCGTTACGTATGGAACTCGATCTGCACCATTTTTAGCAGGAAGAGTTATGAATCAACTCATCATTGATGAGGGACATCGATTCCCCTTAGCAGTAGAACCTATGACGAAAGGTCGTTACGTGGATGACATAAGTGGTGGAGCTGACTCTGCTGAAGAACTTCTCTCTGTCGCACAACAATTAATAGAACTCTGCAAGGCGGGCGGATTCCCTTTGGCTAAGTGGAAAACTAATACTCCTATACTATCGAAAGACTTTTTCTCGTCTCAATCTTCCGACCTAGAACACACTTTTGACAACAATACTACCAAAGTCTAAGGTTTAAATTGGTCCCCTGAATCAGACTCCTTTCGATTTTCACTCAAACAACAATCTCATGATCACATCACGAAAAGAATTATCCTATCTTATATAGCTCAAATTTTTGACCCACTGGGATTTATAGCCCCAGTTATCATCAAGGCAAAAATTCTATTGCAATCACTCTGGTTAGAAAAACTCAATTGGGACGATAATCTCTCTCCTAAGCTGTCTCAAAAATGGATACAATTTCAACAAAATTTAACTGATCTATCTCAAGTCAATATTCCTCGGTATATCGGACTCTCTACGTTCTCTAAAAACATTCAAATACACTGTTTTTCAGATGCGTCACAACTTGCTCTGTCCGCTGTATTTTATATTCGCATTCCTTTAAATAACGACTACAAAACTTACTTTGTATGTTCAAAAACCAAGGTGGCTCCACTTAAACCATGTACTATACCTAGATTGGAGTTAGCATCTTGTGCCTTACTAGTTCGAATTACGGTTCAAATGATCAAAGCTCTACACCTTCCTGATCATGAAATTTATTTGTGGACTGACTCTAACGTTGCACTCTCGTGGATTCAAAGTCACCCATCTCGATGGAAAGACTTTGTTCGAAACAGAGTCCATTTCATACAAGATGGTGTTCCTCATGCAAAGTGGAAATTAGTTCCTGGGAAACAGAACCCGGCAGATTGTGCTTCTCGTGGTCTGACTTCCTCTCAGCTAATCAATCACCCTCTTTGGTGGTCCGGTCCCTCGTGGCTATCTCAAGATCAATCCGTTTGGCCTTCTTCTACAAATACCCCTTATATTACAACTAATTCAGAGGAACGTCCAGGAGTCTCGCTTCTTGCGAGCCATCAACGAATTCCTGAGCTCTGGAACTTGTCATCTCGATTCTCATCCATCCAACGACTACTGCGCATTACTGTTTTATGTCAACGTGCTGTTGCTAAATTCAAACATGAGTTAAACGTACCATTCCTCAGTCCAATTTCACCTAAGGAGATACAACAAGCCTTATTATTTTGGATTCAATCTACTCAATCAGCATACTTCTCTGAGACAATCAAATGTATTCTTCAAAGACAGCCACTCTCTAAGTCCAACTCACTTATAAGACTCACTCCCTTTTTGGATCACTCTGGAACACTCAGAGTTGGAGGAAGACTGAAAAACTCATTTCTTGACGAGAATTCACAAAGTCCCGTTATTTTACCTAGAAAATGTTCCTTATCCTCTCTTTTGATTTCAGATGCTCATCAAAAGACTCTTCATGGAGGTACTCAGATCACTCTCTGTTTACTGCGCCAAAACTACTGGATAGTTGGTGGACGAGCTCCAATCAGATCACACATCTTAAAATGCATTACTTGTGCACGTCATCGTAGCATCCGAGCGCAACAACTCATGGGCCAGCTCCCTTCTCCAAGGGTCACACCTTCTCGGCCATTCTTACACACTGGTGTAGACTATGCCGGACCCATCACGCTAAAAACATGGTCTGGTCGAGGTGCTAAAACTCATAAAGGTTGGCTGGCTATTTTTGTGTGTCTCTCAACATCCGCCGTTCATCTTGAAGTAGTCACCGATTACTCCACGGATAAGTTCATGGCTGCGTATAGAAGATTAACTGGCAGAAGAGGAATATGTCACACCTTATATAGTGACTGCGGCACTACGTTTCAAGGAGCAGAATCTGCTCTTAAGGATCTCTTTACTTCGGCGTCTAAAGAGCATCTCACCTTATCTCGACTTTTACTCAAGGACGGAACTCACTGGAGCTTCATTCCCCCTGCTGCACCTCACTTTGGTGGCAAATGGGAAGCCGCTGTCAAATCAGTAAAGTTCCATCTCAAACGAACCGTCGGAGACACTCCTATGACCTTTGAAGAACTCTCAACTCTTTTGATCCAAATTGAAGCGGTCTTAAACTCACGACCTATATCACCTCTCTCTGATGACCCTGATGACATCTCTGCTCTTACTCCTGGGCACTTCCTTATTGGAGAACCTCTCAATACCATTCCTGAGCCATCTCTTGAACACCTCGCATGCAATCGTCTCGACAGATGGCAACTTTTGCAACAGAAGCTACAACATTTCTGGAGTCGTTGGTCCTCTGAATGTCTTCAGAGATACTTGTCTACCTCTAAATGGCATCACCCTTCCAATGTACTAAAAGTTGGATCATTAGTGTTATTAACTGATGAACGAATGCCTCCAAGCAAATGGCCACTTGCCAGGATCCTAACTCTTCACCCAGGTACGGATGGTCTGACAAGAGTAGTTACCCTACGTACTGCAAACTCTACGTTAAAGAGACCCATCTCTAAACTAGCCATCTTACCATCACTCGACTCCGAAGATTCAACATAATGTCAACAACGATGTCGCCATGGCGGACGGAAATGTTAAAATAATAATTCAATTACTCGATTTCCTTACTCCTTGTTGTTGAATTCCTCAAATTTGCTTATCTCGACTTTCTCCTCTCTCCCTTCTTACTTCTCATACACTTGATCTAACCCTAACTGAACCTTTTCCACATCTTTTCATCGAGTCAAGTTAAAATTTCGACAATCAAAATTAAAAGTCACGTTTTCGAATAGAATTCTCTTAAATTATCTTAAAGTAATAATTATTAAAGTGAAACAAACAGTGCTCTTTTATTATTAAAAACTCAACAGTTACACTCTTCTAAACAAAAAGAACACTCAAACAAATAAATTTCGCTTAATATGTGTAAAAACTACATGTAATTGATCATTGGTTAAATTACTTTATACTTTTCGTTACATCTTTTTCGTGTAAAATAAAGATTATATTTTAATAATAGATAGTGTTTGTGATCAGTTAATAATTTCCTTGCAATTTATTTAATACATAAATTTTTCAAAATTCAAACAGGTTAAGATAACCAAATTATTTGATTCAATGTTGTTTGTTAATTGAACAAAATATTTGGTTATAGCTCAACCTAAGTATTTAGTTAAAACAACAAAAAGTTTTTTCTATGAGAAAAATAAATATATTTTTTCGTATTTCTCATTCTTTATTATTTTATTTACAATTAATTTCTTTATTGAATTTTTATCAACTTAAATATATTTTTACTTGAAAAAGTCCACCATATTAATTTTCACTTCTAGGGAGCGTTCACAAATGATTTCACGTTTTTGGGGGAAGAGGGGATTCTCCTAAACGTGACACAATGTATTTTTCAAATGTGAAATTGCATTAAATTGCGTGACAGGGGGGGGTTAAAATCTCAAAAAATTGCGTGACGTCATTTGTGAACGGTCTCTTAATAGATTTTTATTTTCATCACTTTCATTTTCACTTCGATGGCTTTTAGTTCTATTTTACTTTTATTTCCACTTTCATATCCATTTTTATAAATTTTTTTTTCACTTTTATTTTCACATTAATAAATTTTTATCTTTATATTCTTTTTCGCTTACACTTTCACTTTCATCGATTTTTATTTTCACTTTCATTTTCACTTTGAAAGATTTTTATTTTTTATCGAAGTGAAAGTGAAAATAAAATTCTGTCTAATCGAAAATAAAAATTTATTAAAGTATAAATCAAAGTGAAAATGAAAGTCAATGTAAAAATAAAAATACATAATCGACCCTTAAGTCCTAAGTTTTGCTAATAATATGCTTTAGGTTGACCAAATTCTTTCATGGAACGCAAAATTTATTAAACTCTGCGTCGATTATGTAATTTCATTTTCACTTTCACTTTGATAGAATGTAAATATAAAAATCTATTTAATTGAAAATAGAAATCTATCGAAGTGAAAACGAAAGTTAAAAAACCGTTGCCAAGTTGTATATTTTTTTTATAATTTTGGTGCTCATTTCCTGAACACTTTGCTTCCTCATATAGAGATAATAATAATAATAATAGAAATATATGAATAACTTTTCATAAATATGGTAAAAGTGATAAAATTTTGGGTCAATCAATGTATTTTTAAATACCCTATAAGATAATATTAGTTTAATAGTTAAAGAAAAGTTTGCAACCAAAAAAGTTGAGAACTTTTCATTTTCCACAATTATTGGTTTTTATGAATAATTTCGAAATTTATGATCAAATTAGGTTCAAAAAGTAGGTCAATCGAAGCAATTTTTAATGCTTTAATAGTTAGTAACGATACTTTTAAAGTTACTTCTACATTTTTCAACAAAGTTTTTAAAAAAGTCATATTTTCAAAATTTATAGATTTTTAAAAGTTTAATACCTCCGGTTAATATGGACGAAAAATGTTCAATTAGAACTCAAAAGATGCGTCTAAAAAACTCTACAAAATTAGAGAAATACATTTATAGGTGTCCTAACATTTTTTTAAGTTATGGGCAAAAAACGATTTTTTGAAAAATTAAAAATCTTATATTATGTCCGCACGTGAGACCTACAATTTAAAAAAATTCATTCTTTAAGCTTTTCATAACCTTCAGATATTTTTGAAAATGTAATGTTTACACACACACACTGAGAATAAATATTCTTAATTTAAGAATATATAATATAAAAAAGGTGCCCTGGATATTCCCCACTTAAATTAAGTGGAAATATTCTTACAATGAGAATATATTCTTATAGTAAGAATATTTCCCACTTAATTTAAGTGGGGAATATCCTGGGAACTTTTTTTTAGTATATATATGTGACGCGACACGAGAAAAGGGACCTATCGCTGCAAAAGAGAATTTTACAGGGAGAGCGTTTAAAGCGACGCCATGCGCAGAAAACCCGTGTATTTACGCGTACATGCTTAACTTTCGGGCTTTATATTACACAGCCACACAAAAAAAAAGTTCTGACCTGGGGGTCTCACTATGTAGACTTTTTGTTTTTTGGGTCGCTGAATCCGAATCCGAGGTCTATTTAACCCCATCAGATCAGGATTTTGACATAACCTCAAAAAACCAATATGGCGGACACATTTTTGAAAAGTTCATCGGATTCGCTTGAAATTCGTTACTCGGGGGTTTTTGGGGTCGTTGATTACGAATTTAAAGTCAGATTTCAAAAATTCAAAATGGCGGATCCAATATGTCTGTGTCAGGCATATTGGATCTGCCATTTTGAATTTTGAAAAACCGAAATCAGATTCGTAATCAGCGACCCCAAAAACCCCAGAGTAACGAATTTCAAGCGAATCCGATGAACTTTTCAAAAATGTGTCCGCCATATTGGTTTTTTGAGGTTATGTCAAAATCCTGATCTGATGGTGTTAAATGGACCTCGGATTCGGATTCAGCGACCCAAAAAACATAAAGTCTACATAGTGAGACCCCCAGGTCAGAACTTTTTTTTTTGTGTGGCTGTGTTATTAACACTATTTAAGTTTTCCAACTTTTGATTTTTTCACGTGAAAGAGCAAAGAATAATCTGTCGAATAGCACCATAATCTCAAAATTGATTTTTTAAACGATAGGTCCCTTTTCTCGTGTCGCGTTACATATTCTTAAAGTAAGAATATTTTTTTCGGTACACACGTCCCACATAGCACAATCATTTTCTGCAAATTTGCGGCAAGTTTTCAAAGCCAAATTCGAAAACTTGCCTGGCAAATTTGCAGCAAACTTGCGGTAAATACCAAAATGTCCGTTTGGTGGCAAGTTTGCAGAGCAAATTTGCAGAAAATTTGCATGGCAAAGTAAATGTTAAATGCATGCGCAGTAGTTTTCTATGACATCTAGAGCTGCGCACTACATTTATGTCACCTTCCCTGTTAAGGAAGGCAACGTTTATCAAAATACTTACATTTTGAATACAAAAAGATTTTTTTTGAAATTTTTAGGTTTTTTGAAAGTTTGCTGCAAATTTTCCTCAAGTTAACTACAAAATTATCTGCAAGTTTGCCACGCAAGTTTTCTGCAAATTTGCTCTGCAAACTTGCCACCAAACGGACATTTTGGTATTTACCGCAAGTTTGCTGCAAATTTGCCAGGCAAGTTTTCAAATTTGGCTTTGAAAACTTGCCGCAAATTTGCAGAAAATTATTGTGCTATGTGGGGTACGGAATGATATTTTTTAAAAATATGATTTTTGAACTCCTGAGGTCAAATAACATAAAAATATGTCAACAAATCGAACTTGAAAAATTTTGGTATTACAATACTTCCTCTATGAGGAAGCAATAAAAATCTTTCAAAGTGAAACCCGCGTGGAAAATTTAGGGAACTGATCGGGGGCTTACTAGACCGTCTGTTGTCTAATCTGGCTCTGTTCAGACCGTCTAATTGGACGGCTAGCTAGGATGGTGACGCTTTTTCCATGCAACCGTCTGATCAGACGAACTATTCACACAGAAAAAAACTCGACTCACTTTTGTTGCAACACATTTGGAAGTCGGTCTCAAAATGAGTAATCGACAACTTCAAGTGACTCACAATGAGTAAAATGACATATGGTTGCCCATCCCTGTCAGTCAATTCACAAATGTCTAACCTAAAAATTCGTTTTTCATTTCTCATAAATGCGATAAATCGACTTCAAGTATTAATGTTTTGACAAGTGCAAAGTGTTTATTCATTATAAACAATTATTTTAATTTATATTTTTATGAATTATTCATAGTTATTCCAATGTTATTGTAATATTATCATAAACCCAAAATGATACCGCTTTTTACTCATTTTGAGTCTTTTCCCCAGAAACTCAGAATGAGTCGAAGGGGTATCATTTTTGTTGCACTTCAAAATGAGTATCATATGATACTCATTTTGAGTATAGTTTTTTCTGTGCATGGTCTAATCAGCAACGCTACATAAATCTAAAGTAGCTTAGTTCACTGAAAAAATGTCTAAAACTTGTATATCAGCCATTATCCTATATCCTTTCTTAAAAAAGACATGGAGTGGAAAGGTCGAATGTATCGAAAAGTATCGAAATAAAGAATGGGCAATGAGAATGTAAAATCTTAATAGAAGGGTGTTTTCAAAATTGTTTGGATATGTGAACGTGGCGCTGCAGTCGTAAGTTATTTAGAAAGAGCGCGAATATATAAATTTTATTTTTGTTAAGAGAAAGTACTCATAATAAATCTTATTTTGCATTGTCAAAAAAAACGTCAACATTTCAAATATAAATAAGCAAATTGTTAACTGAAAAAATTTGAATATTATAATGTCTGTATTATAATTAATATTATTATTAATGAAATAATGGACTTGGACAATGGACATATAAAAACTAGCACCGTAGGAGGAGCTAGTGATAAACAAAAAGTATAGATTAATTCTATACGTTAACCACTACAATATTCACGCACTTAGAATTTTCAATTATGTTTTAACACATACTAGAATTTCCAGTCAAAATGTAGTATTTAATTAGATATTTTATATAATTGAAAA